AAAAAAAAAAAAAAAAAAAAAAAAAAAATACCACCATACGTAACATTCGAGGCATGAAATATTTCAGTGGATTACGTACGAAGAAATTATCGTTGAATATTTCAGTCACGCCAATTAGTAACGATTTAATTAATTATTTCGTCGGAATATCGGGAACGTCGTATTCTTAGCGAAAGAAGAGGAGATGGAAAATTTGTAGAAACTTGAGAACCAGCACGGTTAGTTTGCTTTAACCCTTTCGCTTCGAGCGCCGCTTATACGCGATGACTCCTGGGTCTGACACCCCATATATCCGACATCCAAATGATGCATATACAAGTGCTATCTGTGGTCAATAATATATTTTTTCGTTATCGGCAGAACATTTTCTGTTGATTTTATTGACATATTTTATTAATCACTTCTTAAAGTTACTCGTTGTTGAAACAACATCAAAACGTTTCACGCAAAATATTTCGAACATCCAAACGATCGTATAATGTTTCATGCTAAAAAATTTATTAAATCCATTGACAGTGAGACGATATTTCATATACGGTTCTTACAAGAATTATTGTTATTTTAAGACCTAGGAAAACGTATATACAGCAACCACGCGCACTGTGCGTATCTCTGGCGAGCGTTTCCGTTCAGTGACACTACTTAGATGGACTGGACTGCCGAGGCGAAAGGGTCAAACGTTCGTTTCCACGTATTTCGATAGTTCTTTTCATCCAGGGTATTGAATATTTCCCGTATATTTGATGACAATCCTTGCAATTTGTTCCGCTAGGTTGAAACTATCGGCGACGCCTACATGGTGGTATCTGGTGCACCAGTGAAGGAGAACGATCACGCAGATCGTGTGTGCGATATGGCGCTCGATATGGTTGAAGCGATAACGGATCTCAAAGACCGATCCACAGGTAAATTTCCGCGGCAGGTAACTTAATTATATTTCGGATAAAATTCTGTTCGCGTTAAGAAGATCGATATATTTCGCGAAATGTTCTGAAAAATTGATTTATGTACAGATACCACGTATATTGAATTCCATTTGAAAAAGGAAAGATACGTTTCACGCTCACCGTGTATATCGTTGCTAGTAAAAGCGACATTATAGAAATATTATTAGTTATTAATATAAATTAATATTCTCTCCTACGATCTGTTCTTTCCATCCCCATAGCGTGACTCACCCTGTATAGGATTAAACGATTCTGCCGCTTACAAATTCTTTCTTCGGTTTCAAATAAGTAGAACAACGAGTCTGCTCCTCCTCCGCCCACGCTTTCGCCTCCTAACACGTCCATAATGCGCAAATACTGCGAATATTTACTCTTGAGCCAAGAGGAAATGTTAAAGAACGCTTAGCACTGTATATAGCACTTAGCAATGGTAAACGTATTTTTGCGAATATTTTGAAGACTTGATCACTATTATATCTCATTAGGGTTAGCGGCGTGTAACGAATCTCCATTTGGATTAGCCATTGTTGTTATACAATGTGGATGATATTTATTGGTATAAATATGATTAGTGGCGATTAGATACTCGAGATGCTAATGACAATGATCTTAGGTTCAATTAACGAATCCACGGTCAACAGGGTAGCAAATGTGTTTTCTTTTAAAGTCTAAGTCGAACTTAACTTACTGGTCCACAGCAAGTAGAACTAACTTGTCCACAGTACAAGTAGAACTCAACTTACTTGTCCACAGTACAAGTAGAACTCAACTAACTTGTCCACAGTACAAGTAGAACTCAATTAACTTGTCCATAGTACAAGTAGAACTCAACTTACTTGTCCACAGTACAAGTAGAACTCAACTAACTTGTCCACAGTACAAGTAGAACAAAACTAACTTGTCCACAGTACAAGTAGAACTCAACTTGTCCACAGTACAAGTAGAACTCAACTTACTTGTCCACAGTGCAAGTAGAACTCAACTAACTTGTCCACAGTACAAGTAGAACTCAACTTACTTGTCCACAGTACAAGTAGAACTCAACTAACTCTCTTTGTTCAAGTCAAACTGTATTTATATACTCTTCTCCGTATCTTTCTGTACCTCTCGGGTCAACTATTGCTATACAATTCAACGAGTGCTATACAATTACTCCGTAACTCTGTTAGGTAAAAACGTCCATTCCGTGACTGTGGCTACGTTCAGCGATCTGCTGTGTCACTTCGAATCCAAACCTATTATCATAAATGCCGGGCACACATAATCGGATTAAATCATAAACAACTACTTCTAAGTTTTATTATTTAAGCACAGTCATAATGAAAAATCCAGACTAAAGTATTGGGGGTCTTCCTAAAAATTCCAAAAAAAAGGCGCCGATATCCTTTCATCTTCGACATATATTAGCTTGTCCCAAAAGTTAATTTCGCTTTAGAAGGAAATAGCAGACGCACAACATTTTCCAATAACAACAAAATGGATCTTAATTCAATAAAATGATATAAAGCAAAAACCATTGCGTGTCTATTATTTGCTTACGAAACGAAAGAAACTTTTGGGACAACCTAATGTACAGGGAAAAAATGATTTATAACGACGATATCGACGACATACTTTAAAGTCGTTGAAATCACACGTGGCTCCTTCATCCTGCGTATTCATCTCCTCTCTTCTTTTCGTTTCTTTTTTTCCAGCGATTGTAACACTCTTGTAATTTCTTACTTCAGGTCTTCATCTTCAAATACGAGTCGGTATTCATAGCGGTGCTGTGGTGGCCGGTATAGTCGGCTTGAAAATGCCACGATATTGTTTGTTCGGCGATTCGGTGAACACGGCATCTCGTATGGAGGCAACCAGCCAGGCAATGCAAATACACATATCAGAATCCACGCGAGAACTATTGTCACCGTCGTATAAAGTTAAAGAACGAGGGGAGATAGAAGTGAAGGGTAAAGGTATGAAATTAGCATTATGAGATATATTGACTTGGCAACTAAGTGATTGCAGATTTTGTCAATACCACCTAATGGGAAAATCCGCAATCACTTAGTTGCCAATCCAATATTACAAATATCGTCAAGATCCAACGAAATGGTGGAAAAAGGTGGCATCGAAACGACTCCAAACGTGCAGTATTACAGAATATCGCGTGTATTTCAGGTACGATGAAGACTTACTGGTTAGAAAAAAGGGAGCATAGATCGTCATCGACGAAAGGAATTACCATTCAAGAACCGACACAGTGGAACACGAGAAACACCGAGAAGAGAGTATCCGCAGGGACGCCGGCTGCTTTCACGGCAGCCACCATGTACGAAAATCAAAATTGCTTGGACACGTTGTCTAGGAGAGGTTCGAATATCGTCTCGCCAACGCCTGCAGATTCGACGTTCATCCCTGAAGAAAGAAGAATTTACTCGCCTATCACGTTCCAAGATGTTGCTCGTCGATCAGTGGCAAATTCACCGACGAAGAACGCCGATTCGAAAGGTAACTAAAATTCTGAAACGATAAATCATTTCCTCGTAAATACGATTGCGCTATAGGATGCTAGAAAGAACGCGAAGAGTTTGAAATTTCGATGGTTTGTAATTTACAAAAGCTATCCATTGGGAGATGTAAGAAGATACTCGGTAAAGATAGAACCGAGTGTTAAATTTACAGTTTCGCACGATATTTTTGTATTTTTACATTCTACCGTTCGAGTTTCGTATTTCACGTTTCCGTCTGGATTTCCATGTTTTCGAAGTTTAGGCGATGCGACAAGTTTAGGTGGTAAAAGCACAGAGAACGAGGAACACGAGACGCGCGTTCTAAGCTCGAGTTTCAGTTGAGACGTTAACTCGGTGGTTGAAAGTAGAGCCAGGAGGCGGAGGACAGTGAAAGATAAATGAAAGGGAAAGATAGAACAAGAAATTAATTAGAACGTTGTATTTGTACAAGGCAACGATCCAAAATACGCGGCAGACGTAATTATACGTTTACGTGTGCTTATACGTATCAGCTTGTCTACGTCTTATCGAGAGATTCCCCGACGAATCGAATAATTCGAAATCTAAATTTGTCGTCGACATGGTTACGCGGTGATTCGTCGATCTCAACAAGCTCCTTTTTCTTTTTTTAATGCAAGCTAAATGTGGTAGCTTAAATGTGGTGACCCTAACAATGATATTTAGAATGAAATGGGACACGACTAAATGCCACTAAAGACACCTTGCAAGAAAAACCGAACGAACTCTTCGGCCAACTCGATAGAATTAGGCCATCGGAAGGTCATATTATTCATTATAGTGATCCTTACCAGTGAAACATTAATAATTTCTCCCTCGAAACCTGTCTACTTTCAGAATGCAGGTCGAACTCGATGGGTGCGGTGATGACCAGGAACTCGGAGATGTTCAGCTGCCTTGTGAGCGACACCGAGGAACACTTCAGACAGCACAGGGACAGTTTATCGCCCCGCGCGGAGAACCGATCGGCCGGGATACACCCGAAACCAGAGCTGAACGTGACGAGCTCGAGC